AAATTTGGTTCCCATCTAACAATTTCTATACATGTTATTCAGTGACATTGGTTACATTTTCCACATTGTGTCAACATACTCAATATTTCTGCTCTGGTTGTTCGACTTCCACTAATTCAAATTCCTTGCTCCCCCTCCCCCCATCTTCTCATCTTTGCTTTCCGGTAAGTGTTGACAGTTTAGTCGCAAATCGGTGATTTTTTTTTTTTTTTTTTTAAAGGAGCATAGTACTCACAGGTGATATTGTTTATTTTAAAAACCAATCTGTTATTTAGCTGAAAGGCGACCTCCAGGAGTAGTTTCAGTTCAAGGTTTAAAGGATATCTCAGGGCAATAGTCTTGGGGTGTCTTAGTTATCTAGTGCTACTATAAAAGGAATAACCACAAGTGGATGGCTTTAACAAAGAGAAATTTATTTTCTCAGAGTTTAGGAGGCTAGAAGTCCAAACTCAGAGCGCCGGCTCTAGGGGAAGGCTTTCTCTCTCTGTCAGCTCTGGAGGAAGGTCCTTGTCTCTTCAGCTTCTGCTTCCTGGTTCCTTGGAGAGCACTGTGTGTCTTGGCATCTGTCTTCTCCCATCTCTGCTCACTCTGTGGTTTAAACCCAGAACCAAACCCATTGCCGTTGATTCCGACTCCTAGCAGCTGTATAGGACAGAGCAGAACTGCCCCATAGGGTTTCCAAGGAGCAGCTGGTGGATTTAAACTGCCGACCTTTTGGTTAGCAGCTGAGCTCTTAACCACTGCGCCACCGGGGCTCCCTGTATGATTTAATCTCTTTTATATCTCAAAAGACATTGAGATTGACTCAAGATAAACCCTATACTAATCCTGCCTCATTAACATAAAAAAGACAACCCATTCCCAAATGAGATTGTAACCATAGACATAGAGGTTAGGATTTACAGCACATATTTTTGGGGGGACATAATTCAATCCATAACAGAGAGGTTTCTCGAATCTCTACTGGTCCAGTAAATCTGGCCTTTTTTTTTTTTTCTTAAGAATTAGAGTTTCCGAAGGAGGAGAGGAATGGGGAGAGGAAATGACTAAATAGATAGTAGACAACTATCAACTTTGGTGAAGGGAAAGATAACGCGCAATATAGGGGAAGTCAGCACAACTTGACCAAGGCAAAGTTGTAGAAGCTTCCTAGACACATCCAAACACCTTGAGGGACCAAGTTGCTGGGGCTGAGGGCTGGGGACCTTGGTCTCAGGAGACATCTAGATCAGTTGGCATAACGTAGTTCATAGGGAAAATGTTCTACATTCTACTTTGTTGAGTAGCATCTGGGGTCTTAAAAGCTTGTGAGTGGCCATTTAAGATACATCTATTGGTCCCATCCCGTCCGGAGCAAAGGAGAATGAAGAAAACAAAAGACGCGAGTCAGATATTAGCCCAAAGGACTAATGAACCATAAGAATCATAGCCTCCACCAACCTGAGCACAGAAGAACTAGATGGTGCCTGATTACTACCACTGACTGCTCTGACAGGGATCACAGTAGAAGGTCCTGGACAAAGCAGGAGAAAAATGTAGACAAAATTCAAATTCACAAAACAAGACCAGGCTTAGTGGTCTGACAGATTGGAGGAACCCCCAAGACTGTGGCCCCTGGACACCCTCCTAACTCAGAACTGAAGCCACTCCCGAAGTCTACCTTCCAGCCAAAGATTAGACAGGCCTATGAAACAAACAATAACACATGTGAGGAACATGCTTCTTAGTTCAATCAAGTAGAAGAGATCAAATGGGCAACACCTGCCCAAAAGCAAAGAGGAGAAGGCAGAAAGGGACAGGAGACCTGGACGAATGGACATGGGGAGCCTGGGGTGGAAAAGGAAAGGGAGAGACTGCTGACACGTTGTGGAGATTGCAAGCAATGACACAAAACAATTTTTGTATAAATTTTTCAATGAGAAACTAATTTGTTCTATAAACTTTCACCTAAAGCACAGTAAAATTAAAAAAAAAAGAATTCAAGTTTTGTTCTATAATTTCCTCCCATTCTATCAGGACCGTCTATTGTGTCCCTGGTCAGAATGGTTGGTAGTGGTAGGCAGGCACCGTCTATTTCTGGTCTCTGGATAGACGAGGCCATGGTTTGTGTAGGTCGTTAGTCCTACAGACTAGTTTCTTCTTTGAGTCTTTGGTTTCCTTCGTTCTCTTTTGCTCCAGACAAGTAGAGACCAATATGTTGTATCTTAGATGGTCGTTCGCAAGCTTTTAAGACCCCAGATGCTACTTACCATACTAGGATGTAGAATATAAACTTTACAGACTACGTGGTGCCACTTGACCAAATTGTTCACAAGACTATGGTCCTAAGCCTTCAAACCCCATAAACCACTTCTGTGAGGTGTTTGGTTATGTCTGGGAGGTATCAGCGACTGTGCTTCACACGTGCTTTATTATGTATATGAATGTATATGCAGCACAGACAAACGTGTATATATCTGTGCCTACAGATATACCTGTATATGCACATGTATATACACATGTATACCTTGCTATACACATATATGCATGTATATATCCGGTTCTTAAATTGTCTGTTTGTCCCTGGGTGGAACAAACATTTTGCTCCCAACTACTAACCTAAAGGTTGGCAATTCAAACCCATCCAGCAGCACTGCAGAAGAAAGGCCTAGAGATTCGTTTCTGTAAAAATTGCAGCCAAGAAAGCTCTACAGAGTGATTCTGCTCTGCAACAAATGGGGTTGCCATGTGTCGGAATCCACTCGAGGGCAATGGGTTTGGTTTTGGCTTTTATTTTTGGTTAGCTTTATTGAAGTGTGGTTTACATACAGTAGGTTGCCCTGATGTACTCTGCTCTCAGTTTAACTTTCCATCACAACTGGGCTTCAGACTCTTGTGGTCATGGGTGTGTGTCTTAGTCGTCTAGTGCTGCTATAAAGGAACTACCACAAGTGGATGGCTTTAACAAACCAATTTATTCTCTCACAGTCTAGGAGGCTAGAAGTCCAAATTCAAGGCGCCAGCTCCAGGGGAAGGCTTTCTGTCTCTATCAGCTCTGGGGGAAGGTCCTTGTCTATGATCTTCCCCTGGTCTAGGAGCTTCTCAGTGCAGGGACCCTGGGTCCAAAGCACATGCTCTGCTTCTGGCTCTTTTTTCTTGGTAGCGCGAGATCCCTCCTCTCTCTGGTCGCTTCTGTCTTTTATATCTCAGAAGAGGTTGACTCAAGATACAACTTAATCCTCTTTAACATAACTGCCTCATTAACATCATAGGGATTAGGATTTACAACACATAGAATAATTACATCATATCACAAAATGGTGGACAACCACACAATACTGGGACTCATGGCCTAGCCAAGTTGACACACATTTTTGGGGGACACAGTTGAATCCGTAACAGCATGCCTAGGATTCACGCTCTCACGGTTGCTTCCATATATGGCTTCAAGCACCGTCCCAAAAGCTCTCACAGACTGTGCTGCTGCTGTGATTAAAGCTAGTAATCCTTGAAAGCCTTGGATGCACAAGGAATCCTGTGGATGATGGAGGAGACGCGTTGTAGGCTCTGGTCTCATCCTGTTGGCGCCTCTGCCTGTTGCCACCTTTCTCCATCCACCAGAGGGCAGTGACGCACCCTCCCGAGCAGTCTAGCCTCCCCTGTGAGGTCTGCTCTTTGAGATCCTAGCATTTTAGCTCTTGAAGGGACTCGAAACTGGTTTCTCAATTTTTTTTTTTTTTAACTCTAAGAAATACATCTGACATTGCACCTCAGTACAGACATGCATGCATATGAAAATCTAGGTAAGTATATATAACAAACATTTCACAAAGTAACATTTGTCTTTCTGTAGTGGTTAAGTGCTGCGGTGCTAACCAAAAGGTCGGCAGTTCGAATCCACCAGCTGCTCCTCGGAAACTCTATGGGGCAGTTCTACTCTGTCCTATAGGGTTGCTTTGAGTTGGAATCGACTCGACAACAACGGATTTGGTTTTTTGGTTTATATGCAATATTCTCTCATGTTTTCAATCCTCTTTCATTAAAAGAAAAAGTACTGTTCAGCACCCAGATTTATTCCATGACTAACAAATTGGGTCAAACAAACAAAAAAACCCAAAAAACAAACCCAATTGGTGCTATTGAGTTGATTCCGACTCATGGCGACCCCACGTGTTAGAGCAGAACTGTGCTTCATAGGATTTTCTTAGCTGTAATCTTTATGGAAGCAGTTCACCAGGCCTTTCTTCCATGGTGCTGCTGGATAGGTTTGAACTGCCAGCTTTTAGGTTAGCAGCCCATAGCAAACCGCTTGCGCCACCCACACTTCTACAAAGTGGCTCACAACCCTCGATTTAAAAAAAAAATATTGCCTTAAAGATCATATAGTCCAATATGCTGGACATTATGGATAAGGAGGTGTGGGGTTAAAGAGGTGACTTGCCCAGGCCACTCTGGGACTTAGAACAACACCTAGGATGAGGCTTTGGAGCGATGGATTCCTAATCTGGTGCTTTCAGCATTATATGTTATACTGAGAATTTCCTTAATGGGTCATAGTGATCCCAGCGACATTACCGTTGAGGCAGATCCAGTGCTCAGGCAGGTTGCAGCCACAAGGGTGTGTATGTATGTGTGTGCGTGTGTTCCATTCCCAAGCCCCAAGAACTACACACTGGGCTTTCCTGCACCAAGTCACCTCTAGCAAGGCAGTCTCTCTTTGAGAATATAACTTCTACATCTCAGCCACTGATTCACAGATTGGTGCTGGCCTCTGGAAGCTCAGCCTTTGTGGGATCATGCGTGTGGGTCCCTGAGTGCACGCAGCAGGCGTGGCTGAGTGAGAGGTAGTGTCCTTTGCTCTGCTGGCCTGGCTTAGCAGTGGTTTGACCTATAGCTCAGAAGCCAGCCATTAGCCCCATCAGCACACTGGGCCAATGAAGTCGGCAGGGACTTACCGGCTGCAGGGTCTGTTGAAATGCAGAAGGTGGATGTTCTCATGAGGTCCCATCTTTGCTCCCTAGAATGCCTCCCAGAGGATGTTCAAGATCGACTACAGCCAGAACTGCTTCCTCAAGGATGGCCAGCCGTTCCGCTACATCTCGGGAAGCATTCACTACCACCGCGTGCCCAGCTTCTACTGGAAAGATCGGTTGCTGAAGATGAAGATGGCCGGGCTGAACGCCATCCAGATGTAAGTAGGGGGCGCTTGGCTTTCCCACAGGCCTGGATATTCACACCTGGAAGGAGGTACAGCTGCATTTCTCGGTGCAGCTATTTCGCTGTATAGAAACGGGAAAGAAGGTGGTGTAGCTCTCTGAGTGGGTTTCTCATGAGCTTGGCTGGCCCTTCTTCAGGCAGTTAACCGCTTCTTCCGATCTTGAACTTCGTCACCAGAAATTGTAAATAAATATTTGCTTAAAAAGGCAAAGGGAAGTAACAATGATTGAGCGCTTACCACATGCAGGACACTTTACATGAATGAGCCTCTTCTCTGCGGTGGGCATTACTGTCGCGCCCATTACAGCTGGCGAGAGTGAAATTTGCCCAAGGTCAGACCTTTGGTCCGAGGTCAAGTCCAGCTAGGTCTCACTGTTCTTAGGGGAATATGCCTTATTAGGCAGATTCCTGAAACCCGGTTTGTCTTTCTAGTTCTGCGGGGTAACTGTCACCCAAGACTATAGAATTACCCAGCCAGTTATCTCCCCTCATCTTCTCTTCTGCTGTTGCATGGTGACTAATGGGAAGAAAGTTGAGGTGGCTAGCCTTCTCTTGTTTTTGCAGTGCTGATGTGGATTGCAGATAACTTGTTAAAGATAAGTGGCGTGAAAACCCAGAGGAAGATTCCTGGGACAGATAGTTCCAGGAGAGTACCACTCATTATTCTGGCATTAAGGCCACTGGCAGAATGACCTTGGGATCTGTCTGGACTTGGGACACTGAGGAGGAGACCTGCATTTTTGAGCTATTTCTATCTTCCACAGAAGACCTCAGCCCAATTATTTATGCAAAGTATTATAAAGGAGCCCTGGTGGCGCAGCGGTTAAGAGCTCGGCTGCAAAAAGGTTGGCAGTTCGAATCCACCAGCCTCTCTTTGGAAACTCTATGGGGCAGTTCTACTCTGTCCTATAGGGTTGCTATGAGTCGGAATCGACTTGACGGCAACGGGTTGGTTTTGGTTTATAATTATAAAAAGCTAAAGATATGACTCACAAACAAATATATAGTGAACATGCGTCAAAACTTATTTAACTCATGTCTTAGTCACCTAGAGCTGTGGTAACAAAAATACCACAAGTGGCAGAGCTTTGTTTGACCATTTTGGAGGCTAGGAGTGTGGATTCAGGGTGTTGGCTGGGCTGTGCTCTGTCAGCTTGTAGGAGAAGACTGTTCGCTGTTACTTTTCGCTTCTGCCAGCCCTGGGCGTTTCTGGCATTCCTTGGCTGGTAGAGGGATCCTCCCATGATATCTTCTCCTGTGTGTTTTTCCATGGGTTTTCCCATTTTTATGAGATGCCATTCAGAAGGGATTAGGTTTAGGACCCACCCTATTCCAGTACAACCCCATTAATATAACGAAAGAGAAGTCTTATTTCCAAACAGGGTTACATTCACAGGTATAGGGGTTAGGTCTTCAACATGTCTTTTTGGGGGACACAATTCGATCCATAGCAACTCATTAATGAGGGAACTAGCTGGATAGTAAAGCTGCTATTAAGGTCACTGGTAGAATGACTTTGGGACCTCTCTGGACTTGGGACGCTGAGTTCTGGGGCCTCAACTACAAAGGAGAATTTGCAGAAGAGAGGTTCATATAGTCAGTCAAGAAAAGTGTGCTAGAATAAATGTGTCTTCGGAAACAAAACTGGTTAATGTCCTGAAAGGCAAAGAAACTGTAACTTTTGGGATTGTCTTCTCTATACGACAATAAACATTGACATCTCTACCAGGCAAAAATCTGCAACCTCACAGAATCTTTCCCCTAATCAATAGTGAACACTAAGTCAAACAAAAATATATCCCCCAGAATGAAATCAGCCTTAGGTGGGCCCATTGGACGGTGGTCCAATAGTACGTTGAAAGGAATGTTTTTTACCTTATTTCCAAATTTTGGATGACTTTTGTTAAGTGTCCTTCCCGTTTTTTTCTTTCCCCTCGTACCGTAAGTGCATAGTCCTGAAGAAGGTCCTGTCTTCCACCTCTTCTTCTTTCCTCTGCCATGTGTTCCAGGAAGGGGCTGTGTGTGTGTTGGCAGGTACATACCTTGGAACTTTCACGAGCCTCTGCCAGGACAGTACCAGTTTTCTGATGACCATGATGTGGAACATTTTATTCAGCTGGCTCATGAGATGGGACTGCTCGTGATCCTGAGGCCTGGACCCTACATCTGTGCCGAGTGGGACATGGTGAGTGTTACGGATTGAATTGTGTTTCCCCAAAATGTGTCCACTTGGCTAGGCCATGATTCCCAGTATTGTGTGATTGTCCACCATTTTATCCTCTGATGTGATTTTCCTACGTGTTGTCAATCCTGCCTCTATGAGGTTAATGAGGCAGGATTAGAGGCAGTCATGTTAGTGAGGCAGGACTCAATCTATGAGATTAGGTTGTGTCTTGAGTCAGTCTCTTTTGAGATATAAAAGAGAAGCAAGCAGAGAGACAGGGGGACCTCCTACCACCAAGAAAGTAGAGCTCGGAGCAGAGTGCATCCTTTGGACCCGGGGTCCATGCGCTGAGAAGCATTTTGACCGGGGAAGATTTATGACAAGGACCTTCCCCAGAGCCGACAGAGAGAGAAAGCCTTCCCCTGGAGCTGGCACCCTGAATTTGGGCTTCTAGCCTCCTAGACTGTGAGAGAATAAATATCTGTTTGTTAAAGCCATCCACTTGTGGTATTGCTGTTATAGCAGCGCTGGGTAACTGAGATAGTGAGTGTGGCTTGACGGCTCTGCCTGCCTGGCATGTGTGAACGGATGTGGGCTGACGGGATCTGGGGAAAGTGAACTAAAGCAGTTTAGATAAAAATCTAATTCTCCATGACTGTACCCAGTACGGAGCCCTGGTGGTGCAGTGGTTAAGAGTTCAGCTGCTAACCAAAAGGTCGGCAGTTTGAATCCACCAGCCATTCCTTGGAAACCCTGTGGGGCAGTTCTACTCTGTCCTATACGGTCGCTATGAGTCGGAATTGACTCAACGGCAATGGGTTTGGTTTTGGGGTTTGACACCCAGTATGGGTGTCTTTCACCCTAAGGAAGCACCTAGTTGTTGTTAGTTGCTGACAAGTCAGCTCCAACTCGTAGTGACCCTATGTACGACATAAAGAAACGTTGCTCAGTCCTTTGCCATCTTCATGATTGTTGGCATGTTTGAGTCCTTTTTTGCAGCCATTGTGTAGTGCCTTCCAAGCTAGGGGCCTCGTCTTCCAGAGGCACGTAGACTTAGAGGAAGAAGTAAGGGTCAGGAGGCCTGGATGTTCCCCCTGGCCGTCACGCACCCTAACTCAATTTCCTCACCTATAAAAAGGAGTTAATGGTGTCCTCTCTGTCTACCTCAAAGGGTAGTTGTGAAATTAAGTGAAATAAATCTATATAAAAGGGCTTCGGTTAGCTAAACATTACATTAATGCAGAGTGATGTCATTTTTTACTATATTCTAATTGCTAAGTCCCCTGAAAGTTGTAAATCAGAAAGTCCAGCTCAAATACCATTCCTCCATGAAGCTTTTTCTCTCTCTCCTGAGCTCCTTTTGTGAAATAGACCCTAAAATGGCTTCCTTTTCTTTTTCTGTCCCAGGGGGGATTGCCTGCTTGGCTATTGGAGAAAGAATGTATTGTTCTCCGTTCATCTGACCCAGGTAAGTTGTTTCTGATGTCTTGGGAGAGTTTATGAAAGCTTAGGCAACTTATATGCAAAGGGTCAGACATTTTGAAGGCTGGGATACTTCTCTGCCAGTGTTTGTGGAAGTTTAGTGAAAGTCTGCGTGTTAGTCATGCCCACTGTGTAACGGTAGACACTGAACGTGAAGGAAATGAGGCTATCTTGAACTGTTTGACCAGATCTTGCCGATAAACCAGTAACTGTCTGAAGTGATATTGAGTCCTGTTTGTGGTTGACCCGCTGACTTTACTGCTTTCTCTTCCTACACTCTCGGTGTGTTACCTACCAGCGTTGGCACCCAGCTCATCAGAATGGCGGGCGGTGTCACTGGATTGCTTGGTAGCTGGGGTGCCATCTATGTTTATTTTTACAGAATGAGAATGATAGTTTTTTCTTTGTCTTTCTAAACCACTAGAGATTATTTTGCTGTAGACCCTGACTGGGCAGAAGGTCCCTTAGCTGCGTTTCTCACTTTTGAAGGCTTCAGTGTCTCTTGCTGATAATGGTGGTGGTGGTGGTTGGTGAAGATTATCATAACCACAGCTAACATTTACTAAGTTTACTGTATGAGAGACTACTAGTTTACACTCTGTGTATTTCCCTCTTAGTATATCACCCTCAGTTTTACATTCTTAGCGACTTATTATGTTTTGCATGTATAATCTCCTCTAATCCTTACGGCAGCTTTGTAAAGTATGCGCTTTTATTATTCCCATTTGATGGTGTAAACATATAACTTCTTAGAATTTAATTTTAAAAAGAAAAAAAACAACCTTCTGTGATAGAAGGAGACACTATTCAGCTACTCTTTTATTCATTCGACAATTACTTCCTGTGCTCCAGGCTTCCTGTCCCAGTGGCAAGGGCAGATACCTGGTACGTGGGTCCTTGTCCACTGAGGAGCTCAGGTGAGGACACAGCTACCTTGTGGGACAACTTTGATTGGATTTTTCTTGCGCGTGATTGTCCCACTGTAGAGGGTAGTTGTTGAATTTGGGTTATCCCCGTCTTTGCTGCCAGTCCCTGTGTAATAAACCTTCGCTGGTGTCTCTTTATCCTAAAAGGTGTGTGATGGTGTTAAACCTGTTTGTTCCCCAGACTACCTCGCAGCTGTGGACAAGTGGTTGGGAGTCCTTCTGCCCAAGATAAAACCTCTCCTGTATCAGAATGGAGGGCCGATAATAACAGTGCAGGTAACCATGGGCGGCGGGAGGAAGGCGTTCGCCAGCAGTGGGTTTGGTGTTTTTTTTTGGTTTACTCTGTACCAGGCTCTGTGCTGGATGCCTTAAATGCTATTTAAGTCTTCCAACAACCTCTCGTTTTAGACGACGAAGTGTAAAGAGGCTGAGTGACTTGGCCGAGGTCGCCCAGCTGCCAGGTGGCAGAATTATGATTGTGGTCTAGATCCACTCATCCCATAACCTGTTCTCTTTCTCTCATGCCGTATTGCTTCTACTTTACAAAGCTGCCGTAAGGATTAGAGGAGATTATACATGCAAAACATAATAAGTCGCTAAGAATGTAAAACTGAGGGTGATATACTAAGAGGGAAATACACAGAGTGTAAACTAGTAGTCTCTCATACAGTAAACTTAGTAAATGTTAGCTGTGGTTATGATAATCTTCACCACATTACAGACATGATAGGAGTGATGCAGAGGGAGCCTCAAAAGTCTCTTTCTTGAAGAGGCAATGCTACAGATGGTGGTTTTATTTAAACTGCGTTTTAGGGAGGCACTGCCATTTTTGAATGCCTACTTAAGGAGCCCTGGTGGCGCAGTGGTTAAAACAATCGACTGCTAACCGAAAGGTCGGTGGTTTGAAACCACCAGTGGCTCTGCGGGAGAAAGATGTGGCAGTCTGCTGCTGTAAAGATTTACAACCTTGGAAACCCTGTGTGGTCACTATGAGTCGGAATCGACTCGCCAACAGTGGGTTTGGTGTTTTTTTTTGTTTGTTTGTTTACTCTGTACCAGGCTCTGTGCTGGATGCCTTACAAATGCTGTTTAATTCTTCCAACAACCTCTCGTTTTAGACGACGAAGTGCAAAGAGGCTAAGTGACTTGGCCGAGGTTGCCCAGCTGCCAGGTGGCAGAATTATGATTGTGGCCTAGATCCACTCGTCCCGTAACCTGTTCTCTTTCTCTCGTGCCGTATTGCTTCTGATTGCGGGGATGTGGCATGCACTAAGACGCCGTGGTGTCTACACTGGGGAGGCGGTCAGTTAACACTGGTTTGGCAAGGGATGCTGTGAACTGGGGTCGTTATGTTTCTCTCCTGCTTCCTGCCCCCGCCCTTCTTCCTCTTCGTGTTCTCTTTGCCCTGCAAAGGGCCAGTATATTATGGGGCAAGTATTTTCCAGATGAAAAACCAGGACACTTAACCTTCAGTGATTTCTGGTATTTGTAAAGTTATGTGGGTGAGAAAACTCTCACGCAGAGCCATGCTTATTGGACATTTTCCAAGGACACTCCTCTTGAAAGGAGTCCTGGTGGTGCAGTGGTTAAAGCGCTTGGCTGTCAACCAAAAGGTTGGCGGTTCGAACCCACCAGCCGCTTTGTAGGAGAAAGATATGGCAGTCTGCCTCTGTAAAGATTTACAGCCTTGGAAACCCTGCGGGTTAACTATGAGTCAGAATTGACTTGACAGCAGCAGGTTGGTTTTGGGGGGCTCTTATTGAAAAGAACCAAAAACCAAACCCTTTGGTTCTGACTCATGGTGGCCCCCTGTGTTACCGAGTAGAACTGCTCCATAGGGTTTTCTTGGCTGTAATCTTTACAGAAATAGACCACCAGGCCTTTCTTCTGCAGCACCACTGGGTGAGTTCAAACTGCCAAGCTTTAGGTTAGTAGTTGAGTGCAAACTGTTTACACCATCCAGGGACCTACTGAATAAAGTTAACATAAAACATATTGAAAACCAAGGGGGCATGGTCTGGCTCTCCCTAGGGGAGTGTGGTGTAGATTTCCCTCTCATGACGCACTAGGGATGGTTTGTAGGGACGGGTCGTCGTGGGCAGAGGAGCCTGACCACTCTTTTGCCCTCCAGACATAGGTCGAACGAGGTGTCGAGAGCACTGAGCTGGCCAACACATGGATTCCGAGTCTTCTCAGTGAAGGGTGATACGCTCTGGAGAGGGGCCAGGTTGCTGCTCACAGTGGGATGTATCAGTAGCACCTCAGTGTCCCTTTACCCCTTTCGAGTCTGTACGGGTTAAGCTAGTAGGAGCCACATTGACCTGTATGAGGATTTCAGGTTGAAAACTTGGGTGAGCCTTTACTCTGCGCAGCTGGGTCCTCTTCATCTCTCCCGGTCTCAAGGGTATTTTTGGTTTTGTTTTTTTTAACTTCTCTCTTTTTTCTGTCCCCACTTCTTCCTGAATTACTGTCGATTTCTACTCACAACTTCTTGCTGCCATTTGGTTATTGAACCCCCATGACAAATGTTATCAACTATTAACTGCAGAGGGGGGCAATGTTGACTGTCTTGGGGACATTTCTTCTTGTGTCCGTCCTGGCAGTGGCAGTGAACCCTAACGGGTGACCCCCTTTCTCCTTCCCCCCCTCCTCCTCACAGCTCCCCCATCTGAATCCCACCTCATCCTTTTTGCCCCTTGATGATTTAATAAATAAATAAATGTTGGGAAGAACAGAAAAGTGTAAGAAAGCAGAAAAAAAAAAATTGTCACCCAAAGCTCAGCAGCCGGAAGCAAAGCTCTCCATTTTGGGTGACTACTTTGACTCTTTTCCCATGCCTCTTGTTGTCTCTTCATTTTACAGATAGTTTGTCTCAGTCACCTAGTGCTGCTGTAACAGAAATACCACAAGTGGATGGCTTTAACAAACAGACATTTATTCTCTCACAGTCTAGGAGGCTAGAAGTCCGAATTCAGGGAAAGACTTTCTGTATCGGCTCTAGGGGAAGGTCCTTGTCATCAATCTTCCCCTGGGCTTAGAAGCTTCTCAGTGCAGGGACTGGGTCCAAAGTACACACTGCTCCCGGTGCTTCTCTGTCCCTTCTCTCTCCCTTTATCTCTTGTAAGATAAAAGGTGATGCAGGCCACACCCCAGGGAAACTCCCCTTACAGGACTGTGACCTGTAAGGGTGTGTTGCATCCTACCCTAAGCCTCTTTAACATAACCTAATCTTGCCTCATTAACCACAGGCAAAGATTAGGATTTATAACATGTAGGACAATTATATCAGATCACAAAATGGAGAATAACCACAGAATGCTGGGAATCCTGGCCTAGCTAAATAGACACATATTTTGAGGGGGACACAATTCAATCCACAACAATGTTCAGACTGTGCGACCAGTTTCCTATCTGGCTTTTTTTCTCTTTGTCCTTATGTCATAAGCAGTTTTTCATATCATTAAAAATTCGTTGTCCATCATCTTCCATGGTTGCCCTGCTTATCTTTTTTATTTTATTTTATTGTTGTACTTTAAGTGAGAGTTTACAATTCAAGTTAGTTTCTCCCGTGTCCATTCAACCAGCTCCCATCCCTTTCTGCCTTCTCATCTCACCTCTGGACAGGAGCTGCCCATTTAGTCTCATGTATCTACTTGAGCTAAGAAGCACACTCCTCCCGAGTATCCTTTTATGACCATAGTCCAGTCTAATCTTTGTCTGAAGAGTTGGCCTTGGGAATGGTTTTAGTGCTGGGTTGAAAGAGAGTCCGGGTACCATGCTTTCCGAGGTTCCTCCAGTCTCAGTCAGACCATTAAGTCTGGTCTTTTTACTAGAATTTGAGTTCTGCACCCCACTTTTCTCTGCCCCGCTTGTGTTGTGAGGTGCAGTTGTCCTGCCTGCTTTCTCTGTCTGGGGGCCTTCTCAGTTGACTCTCCTGGCTTCTCTGGGACTCTCAAGACCTGGGTTGGTGCCTCAGTTCATGAAGCACTTGTTTCTCGCTTCGTTTTATCCTTGACCAGGTGTATCTTTCGTCTCCTCACCTCACCACCCTTCTGCCTGCCAGCCGTGAGGCCACATCCTACGCTGGTATGCATCACGCCTACAGAGTGGTTCTGGAATTGACTGGAGGCCGATGGGTTTGATAAGAAAGAATTAGAGGATTGTAGAGTGTGTTTCTGTGTGTAGCTCTTTGTAAAATCTAGTTTCTATCTCTGTATTACTAATTCAGGTCAAGGGGCAGAAAATAACGGCTTTGCTCAGATCACAGTGTTGGTGCTCGCCTGGGTGCCCAAAGTCCTGGAGTTTGAGGAGACACCGGTGGAGCTGTATTTCTGCTCCCACGGCCAAAATGAGTCAGGCCAGAAGGCTCCAGTCCCACAGGAGGGTGTTCAGGTGCCTTAACACTGTTGTCTTCAGGCTGCAGGAAGCTGGGCCTGGGCCTTTGCTCATGCTTATGATTCAGCCGTTTACGAGAATCTGGAGAGATTGGCTAAAGCTGTGCCACCTGTGGTGGTTTATGTGTTTGCAAGTTCATCACAGTTTGTACCAAGACCACACCTACAATAAGCACACCGATTGATAATATCCGAAGCTAATAATAATTAGGGGTGGGTGACCTTCCAGCCACAATTTTACTTCCTCCAATTCATGAGGTGTGTACCATGAGTTAATAGCCCTGTTTATACCTATAGTTGTGGAAGATCAACACACTTTAAAAGTCTGTGGTGCTGTGTTAAGGAGCTTACAAGATAGGATAGTAACTCTAGAAAAAGGGCTTACAAACTACAGCCCCCATGGGCCAGTCTGGCCCACTGCCTGTTTTTGTAAATAAAGTTTTATTGGAACACAGCCTTGCTCATTCGTTTGCCTACCGTCCATGACTGTTTTTGCGCTATAACGGCAAAAGCTGAGAACTAATTTGTTTTTTTGTTTTCTTTTTTTCTGGAGGGTGTAGTAGAAAGGTAAGTTTTCATGCTCAGTTGCTTTCTGGAAAATGAGTTTTGAGGGCTGAGGGTCCGAGACGTTTTTGGTAACCATCAACCCTATCATCTCAGCAGTTGCTCAGATTATTTTCCCAAACCAAAGCTTGCCTTAGAACGGCAACATTGAGATCTCTTGATTTTCCCCTACTCTCTCTCAATCTGCAGGTTGAAAATGAATATGGCAGCTACTTTACCTGTGACTACGACTACCTGCGTTTCCTGCAGAACCGCTTCCGCTACCACCTAGGTGACGAGGTGCTTCTGTTCACCACCGACGGGGCACGTGAGACGTTGCTGCAGTGTGGGACGCTGCAGGGCCTCTACGCCACAGTGGACTTTGGGGCAGGTGGGTGTTCGCAGTAACAGAAAACAGCAAAGGCTCTGAGGGCTTGGGCTTTTCTCTCAGTTGATCGCTCCCGGTAGCTGTTGTTTTTTTGTTTTCTAAATTTTATTTTGTTGTTGTTGTTGAGAATATACACAGCAAAACATACACCAATTCAACAGTTTCTACATGTCCAATTCAGTGACACGGATTATATTCTTCAAGTTGTGCAACAATTCTCGCCCTCCTTTTCTGAGTTGTTCCTCCCTCGTTAACATACACTCGCTGCCCCCTAACGGTTATGTTCGCTAAACTGATGCGGCCTTTAGGCCAAGAGCTTACAGGATAGTAGCACCAGTGTTCGGTTTTTGTTTTTATTTTATTGTGTTTTAGGTGAAACTTGATAGCGCAAATTAGTTTTTCATTCCAAAATTTATACACAGATTGTTTTGTGACCTTGGTTGCAATCCCCGCAGTGTGTCAGTACTCTCCTCCTTTCCCTTTGCACCCCGGTTCCCTGTGTCCATTCATCCAGTTTTCCTGTCCCTTCCTGCCTTCTCATCTTTGCTTTGGGGCAGGTGTTGCCCGTTTGCTGTGTATACCACGTCCCTCACGTGTGTTGTTACTTGTTTTATAGGCCCGTCTAATCTTTGGCTGAAAAGTGGACTTTGGAAGTGGCTTCAGTTCTGAGTTAGCAGGGTGTCCGGGGGCCATAGTCTCAGGGTTTCTCCAGTCTCTATCAGACCAGTAAGTCTGGTCTTCTTTTTGTGAGTGAATTTTGTTGTACATTTTTCTCCTGCTCTGCCCAGGCCCCTCTATTGTGATCCCGGTCAGAACGGTCGGTTGTTGCTTTGTTTTCAGCACTGGGGGTGCTAGCTTGGGATGAGGAGTCCTGCTCTCTTAGGGGGTGGCCAGCCTAGAGTGAGGAAGTGGTGGGGCAGTTCCAGCTGTGAGACGCTCTACCCCGAGGCAGGCCGCTGCGTTCAGGTTCTGTGTCTGGGATTTGCCGCTTCACTGCTTTTCTCTGCTCACTCTGTCCCACATCTTGGAAGGATGCTCAGGGCTGTGTCACGCCTGAGCTTTGAAATCAGCCACTGCTGGGTGTCCTTGGCCTGTCAGCCCTTCAAGTGCAGTTAACCCATTGCTGTCAAGTCGTTTCCCAACTTATGGCAAAACTTTGTGTGTCAGGGTAGAGCTGGGCTCCGTAGAGGTTTCTGTGGCTTATTTCTCAGAAGTAGATCACCAGGACTTTCTTCCAAGGCACCTCTGGGTAGACTCAAACCTCCAACCTTTTGGTTAGCAGCCGAGCATCTTAACCATTCTCACCACCCAGGGGCTCCTGAACTTACTTTGCCTCTCCGTTATCTTTCCACACAACCTATAACACACTGAACTGTGAATGGCTGGCCGTGGTTGGGTAGGTGCTGCAGAAACCACCCAGCCTCACTCGAAAGCTGCAGGGAGTCCAGCAGTGGAAGTCCTGCGGGCAGGCAGTGTGACTAGGATGCTTCTGGCCAGAGGATGCGCTGAGAGAGTCTTGCTCGAGATTGACGGCAACTCTCAGAAGGGATACGGCAGCTAAATGTAGTGTGTGATCCTGGATGGGATCCCGGACTACAGCTTTTCTTTTGGCCATTGGGACATTTGCTATCTTTGAGTAAGTTCTGTAGGCTAGATAATAGTATTGTATCAATGTTAGTTTCCTGATTTTTATAATTGTATTGTGTTAACCCTTGCCCTGATGGTACAGTGGTTAAGTGTTTGGCTGCTAACCAATAGGTGGGTGGTTCGAATCCACCAGCCACTCATTGGAAACCCCATGGGGCAATTCTACTCTGTCTTGTAGGGTCGCTATGAGTTGCAGTCGACTCAATGGCAGTGAATTTGGTTCTTGGTTTTATTTATAGAATGTCATTGTTCTTAGGAAATTCACACTGTGAAATATTTAGGGGTAAAGGGCCATCACGTCTGCAGCTTATTCTCAAATGGCTCAGAAAAATGTATGTATTATATACACAGAGAGAAACTGATAAAGTGAACGTGGCAAAATGTTAACAATTGGGGAAGCTGGACAAAAGGGATATGAGAGTTCTTTGTACTCTTCTTACAACTTTTCTATAAAAAATAAATTCTATAAATTCAAAATTAAAAGTTACTGGAAAAAAAGACAGTCCTTCAAGTAGCTTAAAGACCTGCTCTCCTCTCTGAGGCGTCGGGCACGCGAGCCTGTGCTTCATACACAGTGCCCAGCCAACAGCAGCCCTCTCGTGAGAAAGACAAAAGACTAAAAAGTGGAAATTAGACTAAAGTTGCATTTTTAAAGTGGTTCTGCATCACATGCAAAAGGAAAAGAACTAAAGGCGAAAAAGAGAAGAACTCACATTAGGTGGTGGAGCTTTTCTAGAAGCAGGGTACTGAGCCCAGAATGTTGAGTGATGGAATTGCTCACCTGCAAAGGGCTGCAGAGGAAGTGGCTTGCTGGTTTCCTCCAGCTTTGGCAAGCTTCCCATCGAGGTGATGAAAGAGCGCGGTATTTTCCTGCTGGGGAGAGCAGATTGAAGGTTATTATGACTTTGTTTTAAATTTGCGTGTGAGGCGAGAGCATGATGGTTACTGCTGTGGGTTGAAGAATGGACCCTCGTGTGCCTGGGGCTGACGGCCCTCCAGCATGGGGCCTTTACCGGCTTCATTTTTCTGTATGGGAGAGGGCCATTGTCTGGGGGTCAGATCACAGGAGGCTCATGAGAACCATGTTTAAAGATCTAAATGTGTCAGTGCCCTCCAGTTCCAGGCGGGTTGACCTGACTCCTGGTTACCCCAAGTGTGTCAGAGTGGACCTGTGCTCCATAGAGTTTTCAATGGCTGTTTTTCGGCAGTAGGTCATCAGACCTTTCTTCCAAGGTGACTGTGGGTGGACTCGAACCTCCAGCCTTTCAGTTAGCTGTCCAGCATGCTAACTGCACCACCTAGGGAGTCCCTTAGTGTAAAAATGGCATGGGGGCGGCCTCTGACCTCCTGTAACTTCACCAGGGGGAAGGAGAATCAAGATAAACAGCCCAAGGCTGGTTCCTGTGAGGCTGAGGTCAGACATGCCTCCTCTCTCTGCCATCTTTACCAATTCTGACACCAACCGTCCCTCCCACGGCACTCTCTACTTCTCTGCTGGGTTTGATAATTCATTGCAGTGGCCACACAGAACTCACAGACAATACTCAACAATTATGGGGTTTATTAGGGAAGTAACAGTTTATAATTGAAGCTCAGGAACACTCAGGATACAGTTCTTCCATCAGGACAACTTCTTTTCAGCTGCGTTTGTAGGCATACCTCTCCCTGGCCCTAGGCCTCTGCCCAAAGGCACTCAGCTTTCGAGCTCTGTGGGCTGGGAAGCCGACCACACCATCTCCTGCTGCCAGATCTCTGCCACTGGCTCGCTGTCTTCAGGGTTACAGCTCGCTCTCCCTTGGTCTCCTGGTTCCAGGAGCTTCTCAGCACAGGCATCCTGGGTCCAAAGAATGTGCTCTCCGCTCCTGGCTGTTCTTCTTTGGTGGTGATGTGATCGTCTCTTTCCTGCCTCTGGGGTGGCTTACTTCAAGCCCAGCGGGATGGCAAAACTGACCAATTCCTTTGGTGGGTCACAATTACCCTATCACACAGCCCCACCCAATCACTTGGGTGGGAGTTACAAGACCATAGCCAGAAAGGCCACACAAAAGGGATCCATCACACCCCAGTTAGTGTCTGGGGATGTTGTAATAAAGTACCACAAACCAGATGGCTTAGAACAACAGGAATTTGTTCTCTCGTAATTCTGGAGGCTAGAAGTCCAAACGTAGGGTGTCAGCAGGGCCATGCCCTCTCTGAAGGCTCTGGGGGAAGATCTTTCCTTGTCTTTTCTGGCTTCTCATAGCCCCACGCATTCCTTGGCTTATGGCACCACAGCTCTAATCTCTGCCTCTGTCTTCACATGGTGTTCTTTCCTACGTCTCTGTCTCTTCTTCTAAGGATTCCAGTCATATTGGATTAGGACCCACCCGACTCCAGTAGAGGTGCCCTGGTGGTGCAGTGATTAAGAGTGTGGCTGTTAACCAAAAGGTCAGCAGTTCGAATCCACCAGCCACTCCTTGGAAACCCAGTGGGGCAGTTCTACTCTGTCCTATAGGGTCGCTGTGAGGAGGAATCGACAGCAACAAGGTTTTGGATTTTCTACTCCAGTATGACCTCACGTTAACCTAATTACATCTGCAAAGACTATTTCCAAACAAGGTCACGTTCACAGGTACTAGGGGTTAGGACTTTAACTTATCTTTTGGGTGGGTACAAGTCAACCCATAACACCCACCTACTGCTTTGTAGTGAGAAATATTGCCACAAAGTAAATGAGGTTCCATCTTCCCTGATCTCCCTGATCAGCGCGCTCTGTCCTGAACGTTGTCTTTACAGAAAAGCCAACAGCCAACCAGAGAGCAAGGGTCTCTGCTAGCATTGTTTCCCTCTGGGATGCCTGCTGTGGTAACTGGGTCATGAAATTTGGGCCCGGGGGGTCCTCTGCTCCGGCTGGTGCGGACACTGTCCATGCTTGCTCTTTCACAGATAAGAGGCAGCCCGTTACCTTTCTGTGGAGAAATTCTGTTTCTTTCTAGCGGAAGAAGACATGGGAGCCAAGACAAGTCACAGGCATCCGAATGGGATATTTCAGAAGGAAAAATTTAGATCAAGCGTCTGGAGTGGCTGGTGACTTACACGTTAGAATTCAGAGTATACCCCATTAACTGGGGATAAACACAATTAGACCACCCTCATCCCTTTGGTTTGTTGATTAATTGGCAAATATTCATGGCACCATTATATATGTGGTGCTGTGGAGGGTATAAGGAAGTATCTTCACAGCTGGCCCCTCCTGTAGGGAGTTTTTGGTCCAGCTAGGTCAACCAGAATACAAGATATGTATGCAGACCCCTGGGAAACGCAGATAGAGAAGGCAGGCCTGTGAAGTGAAGTCCCACCCAGTGCAGTCAGGACCTGTTCAGGGAGAACCAATATCCTGTGGTCCCCACACATCCATCAAAGGGATGGGCTGAGACCGGTCTGAAACTCGCTTGGAGGCATTCCAGGCACACGGGGGTGTTGGAGGGCAGGGGACTCAGGCTGAAGTCCCACGAAGGGCTCTATTTTCATTTAATTTCTTGTCATTCCCATGACTGACCTTTCTTCTCCCTCTCACGACTTTCAGGCTCTAACATCACAGCTGCCTTTGAAATCCAGAGGAAGACTGAGCCCAGGGGACCCTTGGTGAGAGCTGGGTATGAGGAGTGCAGAGAGTGTTGGCCGCACTTTTGGGAGGGGGAGATTACAGGCAGTAGAAGGGTGGAGTAGAGCCTTAGGTTTTGGGCTCTGGGATGAGCAGCTGATAGGATTGTGTGGACTTAGCCCGTTTGGAGACGTGGGTGATAACAGAAGCAATGCTCCTGTTTGAAAGTGAGGCTCCGAATGGAGTGGAACAGAATGGAGACCATTGTACAAGTTCCCCCATGTCCTAGGCTCTGTGTCTTGCATACTTCATCTCCTTTAGCCCTCGCGACAACTCTCATACATGGTGTTGCTGCCTCCGTTTTCACTGAGGCTCAGAGAACATATGTCACTTGCCCAAGGTCATTCAGCCAGTGAGTGGCGGGGCCAGGATCTGAGGCCAGGTCTGTGTCCCTTGAGACCTCTTTGTGACCAAGCTTCTCCACCTTCAACGTTTTTGTGAATCACCTGGGCATCTTGTTACAAGGCAAAATCTGATCTGCCAGGTCTGGGGTGCGTGGTACCTGAGATTCTACATTTTTAACAAGCAACCAGGGGATGCTGAGGTAGGGGTTTGCTGGCCACACTGAGTTGCAGGGCGTTATGGCCTGCTGTGTAGACGGCTAGGAGGAGGAGGAGTTGAGGAGCCCAAGCAGGTGTGAACGGTCCATCAGTCCATCGCTCTCTGCTCTTCCCTCGTCCGGCAGCGGCAATTGTTGTTGTTACTACTCGGCCCAGTTTAAGGGGTTTGATCACGTGCGTTCTCCACAGCAAGTCTAGCTGTCTCACCTGGGTACAAACCTTCAACAGCCCCTTCTGAGTCTAGGCTCTGCTGAGTGAGCAGTGCAGAGCCTGCCTTCCAGACTTTGTGTGGAGCTATTTCCTGGAGCCTGAGACGAGAAGGCCCCTTGACCTGTCCATCTTTCTTTTTCCTTCTCCAGACCAAGAGCTTGGCAGGATTATGCCCCCCAAAAAAAACATGTGAAGTGTTTGGGGCCTCTATGTGCAGCTTACTTGTACAAGTCTATCCCATTTTAAGTCACCCAGAGACCTGAAAAGCTGGATTCATACGAAGGGTGGATTTGGAGCTTGTTATTTTATAAAGGAGACCTGGTGGCACAATGGTTAAGAGCTCGGCTGCTAACCAAAAGGTCAGCAGTTCGAATCCACCAGCTGTGCCTTCGAAACCCTATGGGGCAGTTCTACTCTGTCCTGCAGGGTCACTGAGTTGGAATTGACTCAATGGCAATGGGTTTCGTTTGGTTTGATTTTATAAAATTGCTATTCCATTTTTTTGTCCAACAAGCTTTCTCACTATATTTAAACTGAGGATTGGTTAACAAAATTTGGACGTAGGTACAACTTTTCAGGAGCACCGGTATTGCCTGAGGGGAGACCTTGCTTTGGAGAGTTGCCAGGGTTGGCGCCTGGGCCTGGAGTGTGGGCGACACTGTTGTTGAAGTCCTCACTGGTCCCCAGCTCTGGGCTAAGAGTGCGTGTGAGCGACCTTTTCTGGCCTTCCCATGGTGTAGCTGGGGTGTTCAGGTAAGCTCCAGCCTTTCAAAGTCTTCAGTCCATCCTAAGGTCCATATCCTTTTCTTTTTGTAGGTCAATTCTGAATTCTACACTGGCTGGTTAGACCACTGGGGCCAACCTCACTCCAGAGTCAGTACTGAAGCAGTGACCTCCTCCCTCTATAACATGCTTGCCCTTGGGGCAAACGTGAACATGTGAGTACAGAGTGCCGGAGGGAAGGGCGCCCTGGAGGGCTGGGGAGGGCGCCCCAGGGGGGCTGGAGAGGGCACCCTGGGGTGCCCTGGAGTGCTGGAGGTTCACAGTGAAGTTCTACTGTCTGTTCTCTTTTTTTTCTCGTAGGTACATGTTTATGGGTGGGACCAACTTTGCCTACTGGAATGGTAAGAGCAATTTAACACCTACTGGTAGAAGCTTCCGACTCACAGCGACCCTCCAGGACAGAGTAGAATATGAGTTGGAATGGACCCGATGACCACGAGTTTGTGGAAGCCTATACTAGAATGTTCCTGGCGGCCGACCTGGGGTTGGGTCCACAAACACTTTTTATATTCTCCTTTTTGTTCATGTCTTTTCCTAAATGTAAGAATTGCCTTACAATCCTTTGAAAAAAAAATTTAAGGGCAATAACCTGAGCTTTTAGAAGACTTTTTTTTTTTAGACCCAGCTGGGAAGGCCTCAGCTTTAGTCTGTGACTGGAGCTTACTTGTTCGTATAGTCTGCTGTGGTCATTTTCTTTATTTTAGTATTTTGTTTTGCTGAGATACAATTCGTATGCCATAAAATTCAACCTTTGAGAGTGTACAATTTGGTGGTTTTCAGTATATTCACAAAGTTGTGCAGACATCACTACTGTCTAATCCAGAATATTTTCATCACCCCCAGAAAGAAACCCCGTAGTCACTCCCCACGCCCCACCTCCCCACCCCCCAGCCCCTCACAACCACTCTCTGCCTTGGTGGGTTTACCTGTTCTAGACATCTCGTATCAATGGAATCATACAGTATGTGGCCTTGTGTGTCTGGCTCCTCTCACTTAGCATAATGTTTTCAAGGGTCATCCGTATGGTAGCACGCATCAGTACTTCATTCCTTTTTGTTGTCAAATAATATACCATCGTATGGCTATACTGCATTTTATATAGTTATTCAGTAGTTAATGGACTTTGGGGTTACGTCCAGTTGTTGGGTGTTAACGACTAAAGCTGCTATGAACATTCACATACAACATACCTGTTTTCAGTTTTGGGGGGTATATACCTAGGAGTAGAATTGCTGGGTCATAAGGTAACCTTGGAGCCCTGGTGGCACAGTGGTTGAGAGTTCAGCTGCTAACCAAAAGGTCGGCAGTTTGAATCCACCAGCTGCCCCTTGGAAACCCTATGGGGCAGTTCTGCTCTGTCCTGTAGGATCACTATGAGTCAGAATCTACTCGAGGGTAACAGGTTTTTTTTTATTTTTTTATTTTTTTTTAATGATAACTCTATGTTTAGCCTTTTGAGGAACTGCCAGAGTGTTTTCCAAAGCAGCTGTGCCATTTTCCATTTCTATATTTTTTTTTATGTGTAGGGAAAATTGTGAGAAATTTTTCTGCATTGTTGTTCATTTTTGCAAAGACAGCTGTGCTCTGTTGGTTTTTTTCTAGGCCCCGTTCCGCACTTCTGTCTATCTGCATGTCTCTGTCTGAGTCACTGAGGATTTCCTACAGTGGAGATTTGGAGGCCTAATTTGGGCTCCAGTTTCCTTGGAGCTGAAATTAGATACAGTCAGCCATTAATGAAATTAATTTTTGAACTGCTGTCTTTTTTGCTGGGTGGAATGGGTTAGAAGAAGACATTCTTAATATTATTAGTTATTAAAGTTAAGAAATGGAGTTACTGCAAAACTCAGATGTCACTGCTTATAAGAGAATAGCCTGCTGAGGTTGATAACTGGCGTTTCAAATCACCTCTGTGTGGCTGCCTTCCTGTTAGAGACAGTTAAGACTTGTGTTGTTGATTCGGTAGATAAGAATTCTACCTGGCTGCCTTTGACGAAATTGAAAGCGATCATCCAACTCAGGAATAAAAACTGCTATTTGTTTGGCACTTTACAGTTCATGAAACTCATTTTTAATATCTTTATTATTTTATGTAAAACAATAGTAGCTACTTCTGAGAAAAAAAATAGGATAATATAAAAACTACCACTCAGAAAATGGAGGTTGTCCTTATTTCTCTCCCTTGCCCCCACCATAATCCATAAAAGTCTCTTTTCTGCCTCTGTTTTCTTACTTAGTCCTCAGAGCAGTCTCGTTACACTAGGGATTATCAACAACGCTTTCCAGGAGAGAAAAGCAGAACACAGGAAAGTCTGCACGCTTCCCGGTCAGCCGTCAGGTGGTGGGGAGCCAGAGTCAGGGCGCTTTGCAGAACCCCACGCGGCCCCCAGCCCTGGAGCCGGCCCCCAGCCCCTCCCTGTGCTCAGTGGGCCTCTCTGAACCTTTACTTTTACCTGATCCCTTTGGAGGACAGAGGGACGGCCAGTCTGTGCTTCTTTTTGTTTTTGTTTTGGAACACTTTATTGTGGTTTGGATGAAAGTTTACAGAGCAAATTAATTTCCCATGTAACAGTTTATACACGTTTGGTTTCATGACATTAGTTGCAATCCCCTCAACGTGAACAGCGCTCTACCCACCAGCTCCCTGAGTACCCCGTTTCCATTTGTCCATCTTTCTTGCTCCTTCTTGTCTTCTGAACTTTGTTTTTGGGCAAATCCTGCCCGTTTGGTCTCTTACCGTTGATTGTTCTGAGGAGCGCATTCCTCACGGGTGTTACTGTTCACTTTATAGGCCTGTCTGTTGTTTGGCTGAAAGGTGAACTCCGGGAGTGGGTTCAGTTCCAGGTTTGAAGGGCGTCTAAGAGCCATGGTCTTGGGGGTTCCACAAGTCTCTATCAGACCAGTAAGTCTGCTCTTTTTTATAATTTGGATTTTGTTCTACATTTTTCTCCCTCTCTGTCCAGGACCTTATGTTGCGATCCTGATCAGAGTGGTCAGTAGTGGTAGCAGGGCATCATCCAGTTCTTCTGGTCTTAGGCTAGTAGAAGCTGTGGTTCGTGTGTTCCACTAGGCCTTTGGATTGTTTCCTTGAGTCTTTGATTTTCTTCACTCTTCTTTGCTCTGGACGGGAAGAGACCAATAGTTGTATCTTATATGGCCACTTGCAAGCTTTTAAGCGTTACTCATCAAAGTAGGATGTAGAACATTGTCTTTATGGATGATGTTGTGCCACTTGACCTAGATGTCCCCCGAGACTATGGTCCTAAGCCCTCAAGCCCAGTGCCCAGTCTCTCAACGTGTTTGGTTATGCCTAAGAATTTTTTTTTTTATTGTACTTTAGATGAAGTTTTACAGAACAAACTAGCTTCTCATTAAACAGTACACATATTGTTTTATGAGACTGGTTACCAACCCCACAACATGTCAACACTCTCTCTTCTCTACCTTGGGTTCCCTATTACCAGCTTTCCTGTCCCCTCCTGCCTTCTAGTCCTTGCCCCTTGGCTAGTGTGCCCCTTTAGCCTCATTTTGTTTTACGGGGAAGTTTTCATAACTTTGCCCCCGTGTGCTCTATTACATACATGGATATATTTGTAGCATATACAGGTACATATGTAGAAATATCCTCTGCCAAACACACATATGCTTGTGAGTGTACTCCCACACACCATCCCACACTTGTTCAGCTTACACGTCTACCTATGTATCCACTTGTAAATTATTGTTTATTACTGTTTTTGCAGGATTGCGTATGTAATAGTAGTTACTCTTGAGTTCCTCCCAGTGTCTTCCTCTGCCTTGGTCGTGTTGTGCTGACATCCCCCTTATTGTGTCTTGCCTTTCCCTTCACCCAAGTTAACACGTGTCTACCATCTAGTTAGTGATTTTCCCTCCTTCCCCCTCCCATCCCTGGTAACCATCAAAGAATATTTCTTTCGGTGGGTAAACCTTTTCTTGACTTTTTCTAATAGTGGTCTCATACGATATTTGTCCTTTTGTGATTGACTTATTTCACTTGGCGTAGTGTCCTCCAGGTTCACCCATGTTGTGAGATATTTCACGGGTTCATTGTTACTTTTTGACGCTGCGTAGTATTCCATTGTGTGTATACATACATGGTTTGTTTCTCCACCAATCCGCTGATGAACACTTAGGTTGTTTCCATCTTTTTGCTATTGTGTCCATGTGTCTATTCGTGTCAATCTGTGTGTCTTGGTGGCTGTTTAGGCCAGCTTCCGAGAAAAAAATAACAGAAAAACAGCTGGAGGGGAGCTTATTGCCAATCTTGCCCAAGAGGAGGAACCTCCTGTGGCACACACACACACTGTAGGTGCACATGTTTATACAGGTGTGTGTACACATGCTCTGTTCACATATGTGTACCCGTCTGTGTGACGGCATCCTGTAGGATCCAGGCTGTTCTCACAGAATGGGGAGATTTGAGGAGTGGTGAGGTGAGGTAGGTCTTGGCCATTTCCTGTGTCTTCCTACCTTCCTACCCCACATGCCCTGGCGTGGCCGGAGGAAGCTTGAATTTGCACTGTTTCTCCATGATGCTGTCCTATGGTGGTTGGAAAGCATTTGAAGAAATGTTGTGCTGGTAAAACAAGAACAAAGACTTAGTTTTCCAATCCATCCTTTAACCTACTGGACGGCTTCCCAGCCTGGGTTCCCTTGGCCGGTTGAGTTTGTTTCTAGAAGTCATACTTGTTCAGCTCTACTCTGTAAGCACTTGTTGGGCTCCTCCTCCATGCCTGTCCCTGATGGGGACTTGGGTAAAGGAGGCACAGTCTGTACCCCTGAGGTACGCATAGTCTAGTGTGGAGGGGGACGTGTAAATAGGAAGCGCAGGACAGCGCAGCCAGTGCCACCTTTGAGGGAGAGGAGGGACCACAAAGAAGGCCAGCTCCTTGCAGCAGGCGATACGGTTTTATTCCTCTTTCCTTCTCACAGCAGGAGATGCTGTTGTCACCAATGCGTCACCAGGGGTAGGTGTGCTCATTGGCCATGAAGCTATGTCTCTGATTAATAAGAAATGGGGGACAAGTAATATGACTGGATCAATTCAGTTTGTTGAGCTGTCCAGGCTTTCAAAATGTGGGTTCTGTGAAGAGAACTAATGAAAAACAGTCTTTGTAGGGGTTGGGGGTATGGGAGGAGGCAGTCATTGCTTAGGGGGCACTGAGCTTCTGTTGAGGGTGATGGAAACATTTGGAAATGGATGGTGGTGATGGTTGCACAACAAGGTGAGCAAAATTAATGTCACTGACATGTACATGTAAACAGTGTGGAAATGGTAAATGCTTTGTTATATATATATAGTTAATTGCTGTCAAGTCAATTCCAACTCATGGCAACCCCATGGGGTGCAGAGTAGAACTGCTCCCTCGGGATTTCTTGGCTGTAATCTTAATGGAAGCAGATCGCCAGGTCTATGCTTGCCACAGTAAAATTTAAAAAAGAGTCTTTGTGGGCATGAGCTGATCCTCTGCCTGGGGCAATCTGTCCTCTTCTCTTCCTGTAGGGTCCAGCCTGGTGTGGCTCCATTGCTTGTGCGCTACATCAAAGGTATTTGCTACTAATCAGATGTGAACTTACAGCTTTTGCACCTCATTTGCTTAAAAATTAGGTTACATGTAAGATTGTCGTTGTTGTTAGATGCCGTCGAGTCGGCTCTGACTCATAGTGACCGTACGTACAACAGAACAAAACACTGCCTGGTCCTATGCCAGCCTCACAATCGTTGTTATACTTGAGCCCATTGTTGCAGCCACGGGGTCAATCCATCACATCTCCAGTTGTATTTTGAGTGCCTTCCAACCCAAGAGGCTCATTTTCTAGTGCTATACCAGACAGTGTTCCACTGTAATTCATAAGGTTTTCACCGGCCAGTTTTTTCAGAAGCAGACCGCCAGGTCGTTCTTCCTGGTCTTTCTTAGTCTGGAAGCTCTGCTGAATCCTGTCCACCAAGAGTGACCCTGCTGGTATTTGAAATACCAGTGGCAAAGCTTCCAGTATCACAGCAACATGCAAGCTGCCTCAGTAGGACAAACTGACAGACGCATGGTGGCAAGTAAGATGATTCCTAAAATAATTCATTGTCACACGCTTGCGTTGCAAAGTGCTTTCTGCAGTGGAAGAGAAAAGGGTGGCACAGAGCTTTGCTGGTCCACACGCCAGCACCACCACATCACCTGGGGACCTGTGAAAAATACAGAGAGTCAGGTCCCACCCAGAGATGCTGAACCACAGTTTCTGGAGTGGGCTCAGAAATCTATAATTTAACAAGCCCTCCAGTGATTCTTCTGCATGGGTTAAGTTTTCAAAGCACTGACACAGAGCCACCACCCCAATATCGCCCACAACCTCATACGTGTAAATGTCATCTCTGACAAGGTCGGGAGCCTCTGGTGTAGACTCTGCCCCTTGGACAATAATTGCAAGGACGTTTGCTTTTTTGGTCCTCAATGTGGCCACCTGTCTTAGTTACCTAGTGCTGCTATAACAGAAATACCATAAGTAGATGGCTTTAACAAACAGAAATTTATTTTCTCACTGTTTAGGAGGCTAGAAGTCCAAATTCAGGGTGTCAGCTCCAGGGGAAGGCTTTCTCTCTCTGTTGGTTCTGGGGCAAGTTCTTTGTCATCAGTCTTCCCCTTGTCAAGGAGCTTCTCAGCGCAGGGACCCTGGGTCCAAAGAATGTGCTATTCTCCTGGCTCTTGTTTTTTGGTGGTATGAGGTTCCCATGTCTCTCTGCTCCCTTCTGTCTTTTATATCGCAGAAGAGATTGACTCAAGACACAGCGCGATCCTGTAGATTGAATCCTATCTCATTAACATAACTGCCACTAATTCCACCTCATTAACAACACATAGGATTTACAACACATAGGAAAATCACATCGGATGACAAAATTGTGGACAATCACACAGTACTGGGAATCATGGCCTAGCCAAGTTGACATACATTTTTGGGGGACACAATTGAATCCATGACACCACCATTCATTGGTCTTCGTTGTAGGTCAAGTTCTCTGGGAAACAGACTCTGAAATTACCAAGCAGGAAGTTTATTGGTAGGTGTTCTCCAGAGCACCACTATAAGAAAGTGTAGGTGACAGGATCAGGCAAAAGGAGATGTTGAGCTGTGATGCAGTCTCAAAAGTGGCTTCAGTCAGTTCTAGAGGGAGTTCTGGAGCTGGGATGGCTATTTGAGGCAAGGGGACTGGGTTTTTATATCTCCACGTTGGTCAGTCATTGGATATGGGCCATCTTGGGAGAGTTGTAACCTTGGGTGAGGCAGCTCAGCAGAGGGCAATGCCCAGAGAGGGATGTATCTGGAAGCCAAAAGCAGCCAATACTGCTGGCAGCTGGGGAATGAGTGAGTACCTTCGTTTAGAAGGAGAACCTGAGAGGCATACACAGCACCTATACTCTTTGTAGACATTAACCAGTTGATTCCGACTCATGGGGACCCATGTGTGTCAGAGAAGAAAGGTGCTCCATAAAGTTCTCCGTGGCTGATTTTTTGGAAGTAGATTGCCAGTGCTTTTTCCGAAGTGCCTCTGGGTGGACTCCAACCTCCAACACTTTGGTCAGCAGCCGAGCATGTTAACCATTTCCACCATCCAGGACTCCTTATAGACATTCCAAAGGCCTTACTGTTACATTTGAATTTCTGTGGGCTAATGTGTGTCTGCGGAGCCCTGGTGGCACAGTGTTTAAGAGCTATGGCTGCTAACCAAAAGGTCGGCAGTTGGAATCCACCAGGCGCTCCTTGGAAACACTATGGGGCAGTTCTGCTCTGTCTATAGGGTCGCTATGAGTTGGAGTCGACTCCACGGCAGCGGGTTCAGCGGGCTAATGTGTGTCTGCAGTCATCCCCCACTTTGTTCTGATAAACGCCCCTGATCCTTGGCGCAGGCATCTGCATCTCCACTGCCCACATTTTCTCAGACGCACAGTTTGAGGTCATGAAAAGAACTGTTGAGCTGATAGTCAAAGATGTGGGTCATGTCATAAGCCCTGCCATTTCTAGTTGTGACGTGTTTGTAAGTTTTGTTGGGCAGCGTCAGGCTACCCACTTGTCAGCGGGGGTGATGTCAGCCGGGATTGCAGCTGCGAGCTTCCGCTGACAGAGTAGGTCGGAAAGGTGCTTTGTCAATGCTTAAGACGCTTAGCACGTGCTACCTGTAGAAAGAAACACTTTTCTCTAAACCCTGACTCTCTGGAAGGCCACTTCTGTGTCACTTAACAATTGGTTTTAACTGTGTCATTAATTGTTTCTCCTTCCACAGAGCCATGAATCCCAAAGGCAAGGCCTTTGGTAGTCACAAGAGGCACGTTTTTGTCTTGCAGGGGCCAACACTCCCTATGCAGCGCAGCCCACCAGCTATGACTATGATGCCCCGCTGACCGAGTCAGGGGACCTCACTGAGAAATATTTTGCAGTGCGAGACATTATCCGGAAGGTGGGTGCTTTGTACGGGCCGTGGCGGGGGGTGCCTCCCTTGAGGTTACTAGGGCTCTGTAGGCGACTTCCTTCCTGGAGCCTTCATGTTTAAAAGGACAGATGCAGAGAGCATCTGGTAGACGTGGGTGGACCCCTTGGCTGCCACTTGACTAAGAACGAGGCTGAACAAGGTGCACTACTGGTGTTTTCATTTGTAAAACTGATCTCAGCACCTGGTTGTGCTGGAAGGATTAGAAAGAACATACATAAAGCATCCGGAACAGTCCCTGGCACATCTGTGTCCACTAAGTGGTAGCCATTCCTAGTATTTAATAAATAATAAAGGCAAGACAGTGTGTCTCCACGTAAATAGTGTATGAAGAACGCATCAGTAGACATTGTGAGGAGTCCCTCGGTTGTGCATATGGTTAACGTGCTCAGCTGCTAACTGAAAGGTTGGAGGTTCGAGTCCGCTCAGAGGCACTTCAGAAGAAAGCCTGGTGATCTACTTCCAGAGAATCAGCCATTGAAAACCCTACAGAGCACAGTTCTACTCAGAAACACACGGGGTCGCCATGAGTCAGAATCGACTCGACAGCAACTGGTTTCTGGTAGGAATTGTGGAGCCCAGTGCAAATGCGAGCCCCCGGCAATGCTTCTTTTTTCCTTTTGGGGCAAGGAATTGCCATTTCCTTCTGGCCTACCACCTGAACTGCTTAGTCCTGCTAACGTCGTGACTTTTCAGGGCACCTAAAACATCCAGGTGGGGTTTCCTGTCTCTGCTGTGGGTTTTAAAAAAAAAAAAACCCACAGTTTTTCTGCTCAGTCACCTGAGTTTTGAAGTTAAAAAACAAAGGTTTTCTGCCTATAAATGGTATGATTTTTTTAAGGTCTAGTGTACTCTAAATTTTAAGCACAAGTGTTAAATTTAAGATTTGTATTATGAAGTATTTTAAGCCTATAGAAAAAATATGACTACTCTTAGAACTTGACCATTTCATCTAAATTTATAAATGGATTGTTAGAATGTTGCTCATTATCCTTTTATTAGGGGTTAAATCTCTGCAGAAATTGTAGCAATGACTCTCAAGCTCTGTCTTATATGTTTGTTCTCTGCTTCAGAGCTGTCTGTCCCTATCCCTATTAGATCCTTCCTTTATTGGAAACTTAGTCTTTTAATCCAGCCTTTCTTCTTTTCTAATGTAAGCATTCCAGGTTATACATTTCCTTCAAGTACTGCTACAGCTACATCTCAGACATTTTGATATACAATATTTTTATTATCGTTGGCTTCTAAACACATCCATTTTGAATTCTCTTTGACCTAGGAAATGTTTAGAAGTGTTTTGTTTTTTCTTTTTCATTATCAAATGTAGTTGTTTTCTAGTTGGTTATTGATTTCTAACGTATTTGCATTTTGGCTAGAGAATACAGTTGGTGTCTTAGTCGTCTAGTGCTGCTATAACAGAAATACCACAAGTGGATAGCTTCAACAAGGAGAAATTTATTCTCTCACGGTCTAGTAGGTTATGAGTCCAAACTCAGGGCGTCAGCTCCAGGGGAAGGCTTTCTCTGTCGGCTCTGGAGGAAAGTCCATGTCGTCAGTCTTCCTTTGGTCTGGGAGCATCTCTGCGCAGGAACCTCAGGTCCAATGGACACGCCCTGCTCCCAGCTCTGCGTTCTTGGTGGTATGAGGTTCTCATGTCTCTCTGCTCGCTTCTCTCTTTTATATTTCAAAAGAGATTGGCTTAAGACACCAACTAATCTTGTAGACCTCATCAATGTAACTGCCGCTAATCCATCTCATTGCATCATAGTGATAGGGTGTACAACACATAGGGAAATCACATCAGATTACAAAATGGCAGACAATCATACAATACTGGGAATCACAACGTAGCCAAGTTGACAGATATTTTGGGGGGACACAATTCAATCCATGACAGTTGGTATGTTACCAATCCCTTGAAATTCATTGAGCCCAAAGACTTGACTGGGGCTGAAGGAGCCACCTGCACTCACTTAGCTGTTGGCACGACATTTCAGTTCCTTGCTGCGTGGACCTCTCCATTAGGCTTCTTACAGCATGGCCATCATAGTGAACGATCCATGAGAGAGAGAACACCCCCAAGACAAGAGCTGCAGTCTTTTTATTACCTAAACTCAGAAATGTCGTTTGGTTACTTCTGCTGTATTCTCTTCACTAGAAGCAAGCAACTAAGTGTAGCCCACACTCAAGGAGAAGGAAATTAAAATCCATTTCTTGAGGGGAGGAGCATCAAAGAATTTGTGGGCATAGCTTTAAAACCACCACATCCCACTATGCTCAGGGTCAAATCTGAGACAGAACCCGTTGCCGTCGACTTGATTCCAACTTATAGCGACCGTGTAGGACAGAGTAGAACTGCCCTGTAGGGTTTCCAAGGAGTGCCTGGTGGATTTGAACTGCCGACCTTTTGCCCTATGGGGCAGTTCTACTCTGTTCTATAGGGTCACTATGAGTCAAAATGGACTCAACGGCAATGGGTTTTTACCTCCCAGCTCCAGAAGTATGTGGGGCTGCCAATTTTGAGCTTTTTCCTAATTCTGCAGTCAAACTGGGTTGGTTCTTAGCCTTCTCACATTCTGGGTTAGGATTTGGCTTTCTTGCTACTCATTTGTACAATTTCCAAAAATTTCATTGCCGTTGTCTCTTCTATTATTCAGTTCTTGTATATTTGTGTCTTACCAAAAATCTGTTTGGTGGGCTTTTAGTGGTATTTTTGGAAAGAATTAAATTACATGCGTTAAACTATTTGGAATTGTTGCCATTTATTTAATCAGTTTCTAATTGATGGACATTTAGATTATTTCCAACTTTTGTTTTAATGACATTTGATGTGCCAGTTCAAGGATAGCTACAGGAAGTTTCCTAGAAGTAGAACTGGTAGTTCAAAGGTTATTTGCATTAGCCATTTTGATAGATATTACCAAATTGCCCTTTAATGAGGTTGCATCTGTTAAGACTATTTCCCCACATTTTACTGATGTTGTGAATTATCAGACTTTTTGATCTTTGCCATTTGATATGTGAAAAAAGATAGTTAAAAAAGAAAAGCTGCATTTCTTTAATGATGAGTACTAGAGTTGTACACCTTTTCACTTACTAATTGTCTGTACTTCACTCTCTATAATCTGTAAGAATTCTTTTATGTGTAGTAATTTTCACAGTTGTGGTGGTGGTGTTTTTTTTTTTTTTTTTCTATTTTTTTTTGCAGAAAAGCAATCTTGAATTTTTATGTAGTCATATGTATTGCTCTTCTTTATGGCAACTTTCCAACTATAGCAATATAAGTAAGTTCCCTTGGAAAGCTTAAAATTTTTATGATTTCATCTTTTACAGTTAAATTTCGATGTAAGTGGAATTTCTGTGGTTGTAAGGAATGACGTAGGGGGCCTAGTGTTATTTGTTCATCTCTTAAATAACTAGCTAGTTATCCTAGCACCTTTCATTGACTTATTCATTATCTTGGCACTGATTTGGTATGCTAACTTTATCGTCTACTTCATTCCCATATGAGGAGACCTGGTGGTGTAGTGGTTAAGCACTCGGTCGGTGGTTTGAACCCACCAGCTGGTCTGCAGGCAAAAAGACCTGGCAGTTGGCTCCGTTAAAGATTACAGCCTGAGAAATCCTATGGGCAGTTCTACCGTGTTACATAGGGTCACGATGAGTTGGAATCAACTCGATGGCACGCAACAATTCCCATATGCAGTTGGACCTCTTTCTTTTATATTGTTGAATTTTTTTTTCATTACCAATACCAAACTATTTTAATTATTACCTTTAAACTATGTTTTTTACCTGAAAGCACCAGTCTTCTGTCTTGAATCATTCAGAATTTCCCTGGCCATTTTTGTACGTTTACTTTTTTGCATAAATTTTAGTATCGTTTTATCAACTTCCAAGACAAAAGAAAAACCCAGGCACCTGTTGATATTTTGATTAGTTTTGTCTTAAGTTTATACATCAAATCAGTGGTGGTATTTACAATATTGAGTCTTATTCATGAAAAAAATTGCCTTACCGTTTATTCAAGTCTTCTCCGATGTCCTCTTGTTTTAAGTGTTCGTAATATAAGCCTGTACATTCTTAATACATTTATTCCCAAATATTCTATTGTTTTGATGTTGTTATAAAAAAGGATCATTTTCCCAATATTTTTACGAAATATATTTAAATCCTTAAAATATGAAATACTTAAAAATTTTAAATATACAAAATAATGTGGACATCCATGTACCCAATGCCATATTTAACATAGACTATTTTGAAATTTTAGCATTTGATCTTTTTTTTTTAGTAATACTTTATAGATGGTCAGATGGTCTTTTATATATATAAACCAAACCCGTTGCCATCGAGTCGATTCTGACTCATAGCGACTCTATAGGACAGAGTAGAACTGCCCCATAGGGTTTCCAAGGAGAAGCTGGTGGATTCCAACTGCCAACTTTTTGGTTAGCAGCCAAGCTCTTAACCACTGTGCCACCAGGGCTCCATATATATACATATTTTTAATCCAGAATTCACTAAAAACAATGAAAATGATAGAGATAATTTAGGCTCTGGAGGATTTTTTTCTCCCAAAGGAGATTTTCTTCTAGCAGGCAGTTAGGCAGGAACGGATCAGCTTAACGCAACCAGGGACTGAGCTCATTTGAAACCGGCTTCCATCTTTGTGGCCTGGTCTGTTTCCAGTTCACCGTCTTAGGAATCCCAACGGAGAGCGTGAGGTGTTTACCAGGCTCTCTCCTCCTTGATGGTCTCTGAACTGCAATTTTCATCTCCAGCCCCATCAGACCCCCAGGGGTTCTGTTCAACCTCTCGTCTGTCTGCTGTCCCGTGTGGGGAAAAGTGGCAGGAATGTCAGGCTCACATCACCTCGTTTTCCTTCTTTTGGGAATTATAGACACTTACATCCTCACTGGTTTGATAGCTTTCTTCTTCTTTTTAAAAGGATGAATTTATTATTTATT